GTGGGTGGGATTCATGCCACATTTACATTTAGCTTACATTTTCTCTAGTATATATGTTGAAGAAAAACACTTTTTTCTCGAGTGTTTGAACACAAGCTATGCAGAGTTCATCAATTTCAATTTTTTTTTAAATTATGAAATACATATTAATAGATACTGTTAGTAGTATCATCAAATTAAATCATAGGTGAATAACGTTTGACTGATTTTGTTGTTGTGTGTATTTTTAAAAGTATTATTTCTTTTGTTTTTGTTTTTTTTATTTGAATGTTTTTTTAGTTTATATTAGAAAATGCCAGGCATGCATGGAAAGCAGGGGTATGTGTTTCATTGTGACATTTCTAGCCTGAATATTTGCTCAGATTTCCCCCGATAAATTGATTCAACAGGGTCTGTTTTGCTTGTCTTAATGCTAACAAAAGACAGAAATTTTGCTCTATTCCTGTTTATTGTTATATAAATGCTTTTCATCCTTTGTTTTTTTTTTAACTACAGTCAAACCTCTTTATGTCAACCTCCAGGGAAAATTGAGATTTCAGAGGATTTGAGTTATTGTTTTTTGCTTATTTAAAGAAAAATTGGTTGATACCTTCCAGTCTAATTTGAAATAGACATGAATTTCAAGTCTCCAAAGTTCACCTGTATGTTAATAGTTTAAACAGAGGTATTTTGATGTTTTCTTGAACATATTTTAATTGCAAAGTGATAATGAAACAATGAAGACTCCTTGATATTAATTTTAAGGAAATTAATTTTAGTTGCAACAATTTACTTTATTTGTAACCTTACATGGAAATAAAGTTTGTCTGAAAATGATGTATTTATGCCATACATTAATTGATGATCTAATTACCCAGGACACAGAGCTTGCACTAATTATCGCAAACATGCACATGAAAAAATAGGGAGCTGTATTTATGTGTCTTGTCTATTATGCATAATGATTATGAAAATTTATTTTTATACATGTATAAATGCTTAGTACTTGTAATCCATTTTTCTGTGATAGAAACTCAATGCCATATATTTTATCTGCTGAAGTTTTTGCTGCCTTTCAGGGCTTTGATGTCAACAGAGTTTATGACTTATTAACTAGTTTTGCTAAGATTTTTTTCCACCTCAGAATATGGAACTACATGTAGCATGTATGATATTTTTGTTATTGGGAATGCATTGTTTTGTATTGAACTGTGATTTAAGAATTCATTTTTGAATGAATGACCCAAAAAATCAAAGAGTAAATTTGACTTTCCAGCCACATTCGAGATAAGAAGAAACCCCAAGTTTGAGAGGCTACCTGATAGTCGGGTTTTACTGTATTATCTTTGGGCTGAATCAAGCGTTTGTGATGCTGAATGTATCTTATGTAGTCTTCGCTGTATCAAATGTTTTATTTTGTCTTTTACTGCTTGTTCCATCCATGATTGTTATCTGTGATAATTATGTTATATTTTTATTTTATATTCAAATTATAGAAATGACTAGACCACATTTAACAAATTTTTGCTAATTTTGATAGAGTACATATTTATACAGAGAGCTTAATAAATATGTAGAAATTTATAATGACGAGTTTGTTTTCATAGGAATTATGGTGGAAAATTTTTAAAACAATGTATTTATGAAGACTGTGCATGTATAGTGAAATGCATTAATTCTTTGAAAATTTCTCCTTGGTATTAAAAAGCATACATAATTTTGTTATATAATACATGTATATACCTTTATAAATTTGTTCCTATACACATCTATATACACATCTATACGAAACAGAAATCTTAACATTTCTATAATGTTTTGCGGACAAAAAAAAAAATCCATGCTTGACCGCTGAGTGTGATGTTGGACTGGTTGGTGAGATTTTGGACCCCTTGCATCACAGAATGGGCGAAGCTTAATCTTATTATCATTCGTTGGTGTTCAACAGTGACGGACCTGATGCTACATCACAGAAGAGAGTACAAAATATATGATGCATCCGGCACGTAGCATCGTTCTTGAAAGTGGAGGGGGGGGGCAACCATAGAAAAAAAAATTTTACTTACCTGTAAAAGTTGACAAGCCAAAAAAAAAGAAAAAGAAAAAAGGAGATTTGGCCAAACTCGAAAATCCCATTTCGTGGGGGTGGGGTGGGGTGGGGTTAGTGGTCAACTTTTTTAAGGCCAACTTCCTCTCACTTCCAATTTTTTGCATACATTACATTTCCTTCATATTAATATACTGTGGTAAGAAGTGGGGGGGGGGGGGCAACCAACCTTTCAATGGACATTTTCAATAGTAAAGGTAATTTAGGGAGAAAAAAAATAGCCCTCCTGGCCCTGAAATTGAGATGATCGAAAATTTCGTGTATTTATACTGCCATTTTTGCGTGCAAGATATTTCGGTCTAACGCGCTTCATGCAGATGTCTAGAACTTGATAGAAAAGTAAAGAATTTTTGAAATTTAGCTTTTTTGCAGTTGAGGTAAGAATTTGGAAGAATTAATCAAGAACCGAGTGCACTTTTTTTTTAAATATACAGTTTTTTCAATGGGTGGCACTGTAGCTCTCAGGTCTGTCAATATTATTTTGGGAAAGCTACAGTTCTGCAGCTAATTCTAATGTTGACGTTTAGATTTTAAAAATCCGCTTAAGGGTGTACAGATTTTGGCGCGCTTTAGTATTATGACGTAAAGGTGAATCTATTCGTAACGTTATTTGTCCGTTACATGTACATTTGGAATATTATTATTCATAAGGAAATTTGATAAAATCTGATCAGGTAAGTGAAATATTGAATATTTTTAATAAATCTTTGTAAAATGGACTGCAGCGTTCTGCAAGAAGTGAACTTGTAAAACTACGAAGCTAAATTATTGAAAGGAGAAAAAAAAAACACTGAATGAAAATTTTCCTAGTTTTTCTTAGATTCTATTAGAATTATTTTTGAGTTCTGTCTTACTTTGGAAAAAATGTTAAGTTCTCTTTTATTTTACGAAAACTTTCGATGACGTTGCTAAGGGTGATGCAGGGTGAGTCGTTGTGTTGTGACAACAAGCTCACAGTAACGGCATCAGTAGAAGCGAACGGACGTGCAAAATATTCAGAGCGAAAAAAACTGAAAATTTACAATGAAACGACGACTTTCATCTGAGGATTCCTGTACCGAAGGGAACATAATGGTATAAATTACCTTTATGAATATTCTTTTAGTTACATAATTTCCCAAATATGGAAATATTCAATGAAGTAAAAATTTATGAATACTCCATATCCTAGATCAAACTCGAAAGAAATGTTCGAGGGTTCAAATTTGCCAGAAAAAAAGACAGGATTCCAAAATTACACATCCCACCAAAAAGTTGAATAAAAATAATGAATGTTAAAAATTTCCATTACATTTTTTAACAAAAATTAATACGAACGAGCTAAAGTCACGTACTTTCTGTAAAAGATGCAAATGTATGTGTTGATTTATCGAGTTACCTACAAAGCTAAAATCCTGTGGGGAAAATCTCGAGTGAAATTTTTGATTTTCTTACATTTTATTTGAACAATTTCTGAGCTTTTTCTTGCTATAAAAGAGAGACACAGATCCGTGGAACGCGGAAGCGGCGGTTAATTTTTGAGTCTTTCTGATGTAGTATTAATTTGAAATTTGACATTTTAAAGCTGCTGGAAACCCCATTCCCTACCCACCCACTTTTTTCCCCGTACGATCGAACTCGGCAATTAAATTTCATCATTTAAAAATATTTTACGGAAAAGAATGAGTTAGAGACACGATACCCCCCCCCCCAGGGTTTTCGAATTTGGACGTTTTCCTTTTTTTTTTTTTTTGGCTTGTCATATTTTTGGAGGGCCAACGTTACAACGGACATAAAAAGATATTTTATAACTTAAAAAAAAAATTTTCTTTTTACGAAAGCAATTCTTGGCATATGACGTTGCCAAGGGTGATGATGCAGGGTGAGTCGTTGTGTTGTGACAACAAGCTCATAGTAACGGCATCAGTCGTAGCGAACGGACGTGCAAAAAATTCAGAGCGAAAAAACTGAAATTTGACAATGAAACGACGACTTTCAACTGAGGATTTCTGTACTGAAGGGAACATAATGGTATAAATTACCCTTATGAATTTTCTTTTATGTACAGACTATTCTAAAAATGGAGATATTTGTGACAGTGTTTTTTTTATGAATGTTTGGCATCCGAATTTCAAACGCGAAGTATGTCTGGGGATCAGTTTCGCCAGAAAAAATACCAACGGTTGTGAAATTACACAATAAATAACGAATGAATGAGAAAGATTTTCTTTCTTAACTAACAAAAAGCAGTTAGGCTATAAAACTTCCTGTATTGTAAATGTACAGTCTAACTATACTTTTCACACTTACTTCTTGAGTGAAATTTCTGTTTTACTATAAGATTTTACCAGATTTTTTTTTCGTTCGTTCTTGTTTTGAAAAAGAAACGTATGCACGTAGAGCGCAAGTGATTGGCTTTTTAATGTAAGTCTTTTTTATGTCGTCTCGCCATGTTAATTGACATTATGAAGTTATGAAGTAAATTGCTTGACCCCCACCCCCACCCCAGTTTCGGTTCCTGTACGGTCGATCATGGCAAATTTCATTATTTGAAAAAAAAATGCAAAAAGTTACAGGACGTTCCCTCACCTCGAAATAGGATTTTCAAGTTAAGAAAGTTTACTCTAAAAAATCAATTGCTGGGAGGGGGTGGGGGAGGGAGGTCTCTACTTCTGGGTTTAAAATGGTGTTATGTTCCAATTTCGTACGTCAGAAATAAATCCCAACGGTCCAAAATTATACAACAAATCATGAATGAAAGATGAAAAGTTCAGGTTTTTAAATATTAAATAGACAATAAATAAAGTTAAACAGACAAATAAAATAATTGATTAATTAAATACCGGTAGATAAATAAATGAATGCATGAATGAATGAAGAGCAGTCATAAGACTTCTTGTAAAATGTGCAATTACGCGTTTGCATACATTTATGTAAAATTAAAAAGAAAACGAATTGCTTTTAAATTTACATATTGAAATTCTGAATTTGTAATTGATAACTCAGAAATTAAACAAATTATTATATTCTAGGCAAAGAAACGAAAGATCAGAGGAGGAAAGAAAGACGGGAGGAAACATGGTCCTCGTTCGTCCTCTGACTCCTCCAAAGTTCCCAGGACAGAGTCGTGTGCATCAGACACCTCTAGCCACAACAGTGAAACTGCAGGCAAACTATCAGCTGCTGAGGAATATGCATTGATTTCTAAGGAGATACGTGACTTTGAAGCTGCTTGTGCATTGATTTCTGAGGAGATATGTGACTTAGAAACTGCTTGTGAAATTTCGCAGACAGATTGTGCTACAAACACTCTTGTCAACAATGAGGTTGCGTGTGATACAAAAGATGCAGCGGAGCTGCAACAAGACATTCGGTCAGTTGATAGTGCAACCAATGAAAGCAACAATGATGCATGTGTTCTCTCACAAGCAGAAGTTCTTGGATTGTTTCAAGGACTGAGCAACACGTACAATCTAACAGAGATGTCTCCGCAGGAGCAACCTTTTCATGTTGTGTCAGACGGTTCCTCTCTGTACCTGGTGGGTCCTCAAAATCAGGTCTACATGTCACTGGTACCACCGACTGGAAGTAGTGCTGCTACCACAACAGACTCTCAAATGGTGTGCACCGTTCACGACAACCCTGACCAATCTAACCAGCTCACAGACAACATCAACAAATCGGTAAGTCAGTCTTGAAATCTATTTCTAAATATTTCTCTCTCTCTCTCTCTCTCCCCCTCTCTTTTTCAAACAAGGTTCCACCTATTTTCTATTCTGTCTTCTTCTCTTTCTTAGCAACGGTTCATTTCCAAGTCTTTTTCTGAGAGAATCAAGGAAAGGCTTGATTACTGGGTAAGAACCTTTCATTTAGAGAATGGTTTGATATAATTGTCTTGACATTCTGTCCAAGTCTTTGTCTTATTTTGCATGGGCGAATTTGTATTCCAAGGTAATGGTCTCAAGGCTTAGAAATATGTGTGTGTGAGGGTGGGGGGTGGGGGGTGTTTCCAAACCAAAGGGTGATCCCACTTGAATTGCTTATTTCTTTCAAAACTGTAAATAACTTTTGAAAATGAATAAAAAATTAATCTTTTTTCTTCCTGGAATTATCTTTCGTATCATTAAAACTTACTTTATTTTGATTCTTTTTTCAGTATGATGCGACAATGGATGTTGATCGGAGAGAGGCGGATCTACTGAGATATCCCTCTCACCTGGTAGGTGTCTCATTTACGCCACTCTCTTTCATTTTGCACATGAAGGCAAGAGACTTTAACTAATAATGAAAATAAAATTATACCAAAAACAAGATGTGTTTGTGAAACACTATGCGGCAACAAAGTTTGAAAAAAGTTATTTTAGCATATAGGTCACAGTCAAGGTACAAGGTCATTGACCATGGTGTCATTTGAAAGAACTTAATATTAGCGGCCTGGAGTATGCATACCAAATATGAAGTCTCTATCTCTCATGGTGCAAAAGTTATGATGAAGGTTAAAGTTGACAACAGACAAACAAACAGATAAATAGAAAAACAGACTGGACAAAAATAATATACGCCTTGGATCTATCGATCCGCGCGCATAAAAATTATGAAAAGAATATGATCATTATTATTTATTTTAAATGTAGATCTGTAGCATTATTACACGCAGAATGGTTCTAAATTGTTAAAAACAGTTGTTGTTTTTTTTTTTTGGTAAATCAGGGGTGGAGTTTAAAATTGCAATTCGCAAATAATTAAAGGGATGATGAGGTGCATTGTCCTCCTGTGACCCTCCCTCTTTGACAGCCATTATTGTGTAGATTTAGTTAAACATTGGCTAATACACTATAAAAAGTAAATGTTTTTTTTCAGTTGGAATGGTCTGAGCGTGTGAAATTCAGTCACCAGCGCAAGTGGAAAAGGCTAACATACCATGAGCCTAAGTACAGCGAATGGGATTTCGTCTGAGGAAAATTTTCCGGTTATGGGACAGTTACTATTTGTTGCGGTGCTATACACTCTTTGGTCCACCCTGTGATATTTTCAGGAATGGGACAGTTATTATGTGTTGTGGTGCTATTAACTCTCTGGGCCACCCTGTGATATTTTCATGAATGGGATAGTTATTGTGTGTTGTGGTGTTATAAACTCTCTGGGCCACCTTGTGACAATCCATGCAAGCCCATCGTTTGTCTCTCTCAAGACTTTTTGAACATGCACTGACACATTACTTTTTAAATTATTTATTGTTTGGCAAATTTTTCTTGGCAAATCATGTTTGCGATGATACATTTTTGGCAGACAGCTACAGTAGGCACTGTGTGCTATTCATTCGGATCATTTTGATTTTTGTCTCTATAATTATTATTATATCTTGATTTTATCTTTATTATTTTGGCACCAAATGTTTTTTTTAATTTTCCTTTGAAACTGGATTGGTTTGACTTTGAACTAAGTGGCCATTAAGAGTTGGTCCTGCATGCTTTAATTACTTGTAAATATTTTGATTATTATAAAATAATTACATGAAATTATTATGATTATTTTTTGAATAAACTATATAGTTTTACATTATCTGTCTTTTGCTTTCTCTTAAAAGAACCCACAATAAAAACTTATTTCCCCTTGGCAATACACCTTTCTGATCAATAGGTAGATAAAGAAAATTGTTCACTTTCTGTCTAAAAAAAAGGCATACCAGGTATCTTTGGGTTCATGTACAATTTAATTGAAATCAGACTTCTTAGATCCGCGCCGTATACACTATGCGTCTTATGCCTAAGTTACATTTCCCGGCCGGTGGCCGTAGATCGGTGGTAATCCGTCGTGTGAGCGATGCCCCAACATCGGTCCACATCGGCCTAGTAGTCCTTAAAGTATCAGTTATGCCTAGGTCACATTTCCCGGCCGAAAGCCGTAGACCGGTGGTAATCCGTGGTGTTAACGATGCTCCAACATCGGTCCACATCGGCCAAGTAGTCCTAAAAGTATTAGTCACATTATCCAGCGATGGGTATACAATGGGCAACCAATGCGTTTTATGATAAAAATGTCGTGGTTGTCCGCCGGACTTACAAAGGCCCAGCGATGCATTCTAATCATAAAACGATGTTTCAGGGTAATCGGCCGATGTATATTACATCGCACATACATTGGTGAACATCGGTCGACTATGGGCCAATGTTTGGTCGAACATCGACCGATGATCGGCCGTTATCTGTTGAACACCACTCAACCCAGCGAAGACCTCAGATTCAACGGACTCTTGACGATGCTCGGCCATTCATCGGCCGATCCTTGAAAGATGTGTAAGCGATGGGTTGCCGATGAGGAGCGATATGAGGCATCGTTGGAGACATCGCTGAATTTTAACTACGAATTATTCCCTACCGATGACCCCACCGCAAAATGGCCTCAGTCACCGTCCGATCACTAGTGGTGCCCGGTCGGCAACCACGCCATTTTCATCAAAAAACGCATCGGTTTCTCATTGTATACCCCATCGCTGGATAATGTGACTGATACTTTACAATAATGGGGTAAACGATGGGTAACCAATGCGTTTTTTTTTTTTTTATAAAAATGGCGTGGTTTGCAGGCCGGACTTACAAAGGCCCAGCGATGCATTGCTCATCATAAAACGATGTTCCAGGGTAATTGGTCGATGTATATTACATCGCTTATACATGTGTGAACATCGTTCGTACGTTGGTCGACTATGGGCCACGTACGAACATCGACCGATGATCGTCCGATGTCTGTTGCCCACAACTCAACCCCCCAACCCCCCCCCCCCCCCCCCCCACCGATGACCTCAGATTCAACGTATACACTTGACGACGTTCGGTCATACATCGGCCAATCGTTGAAAGATGTGTAAATGATGGGTTGCCGATGAGGAGCGATGTGGGGCATCGGTGGAGACATCGCTGATTTTTTAAATATATTTTCCACCGATGACTCCCATCGATTCGTTAAATGTCCTCAGTCACCGACCGATAACTATAGGTGTCCGGGCGGCAACCATGCTATTTTTATTATAAACGCATGGCGGTTTCTCATCGTGTAACCCATCGCTGGATAATGTGACTAATACTTTATGCCTTAGTCACATTTCTCGGCCGGTGGCCGTAGACTGGTGGTAATTGGTGGTAATTCGTGGTATGAGCGATGCCCCAAACATCGGACGGTAATCTCGGTGAAAATCCATCGTGTGAGCGATATCGGTCCCAACATCGGTCCACTTCATCAGTCACATTATTCAGCGATGGGGTATACGATGGGCAACCAATGCGTTTTATGATAAGAAATGGCGTGGTTGCCGCCGGACTAACAAAGGCCCAGCGATTCATTGCTAATCATAAAACGATGTTCCTGGGAAATTGGCCGATGATCGGCCGATGTATATTGCCCACCACTCATGATCAACGGTGTCTTCTAGCTATTCCCACTTTTTGAAATCGCAATTCCACCTATTCCCACTTGCAAATAACAATGGATGTTTAGATTTACCTGTATTTTGTACATTTAAAGACTGAAAATAATGAATTTATCAATGAAAAAATATGATTTATTTTGGATTATTGAAATAATAAAAAGATCTTACAAGAAATAGCAACTTAATACCTAAATTTAAGAACATAGTTAATTATTTGTTTACACAAAATTCCACCTACTCCCACATGAAATTTCACCTTTTTGTACCTGATTTTCAGAAAGTGGGAATAGCTTGCATAAACCATGATCAACCACCCGATGACCTCAGATTCAACGGACACTGGACGATGCTCGGCAATACATCGGCCAATCCTTGAAAGATTGGATTTTTCATAATGGTTATAATTTTCATAATTTTCATAACGTTAATAATGGATTGCCGATGAGGAGCGATGTGGGGCATTGGTGGAGACATCGCTGATTTTTAACGACAACTTATTTTCTACCGAAGACCCCCACCGATTTGCCAAATTTCCTCAGTCACCGTCCGATAACTATAGGTGTCCGGCCGGCAATCACGCCATTTTTATCAAAAAACGCATCAGTTTTTCATCGAATACCCCATCGCTGGATAATGTGACTGATACTTTACACAGAGTGATAACGGCGCGGATCGGAGAAGTCTGATTTTAATTAGACAGGTTCATGCATTTACCCTCTGAGAGAGATAACTCAAAAACTATCAGTTCTTTATAAAATTTCAAGTTTTGTATTTAAAAGTTTTGATCGATTATTTCCCCCAGAGAAATGCTAATACCAACATCACATCAAATTACTGAGCGTATGTTTCACAGTTGACTTGATATGCGAAAACATACTCTATGCACGTGTAACTTCTTAAACGACACAGGCTCTTGGGAAATAAGTTGAATGTACAAGGATATCCACAGTTTTGTTTAAAGTCATTACAAAAAAGTAAATGGTCGCTACAATTAACAAAACAATCTACATGTTTTGAAATAGTTTAAATTAAAAATAAAATGTTTCGAAAAATCACAATTTTTTTAGCTCACCGGAACCAAAGGCTCAAGTGATTTTTTTTCTAGTCAAAATTTGTCCGCTGTCTGTCGTTGTCGTCGTCGTAAACTTTTCACATTTTCATCTTCTTCTCAGGAACCACTTTTCCAATTCCAACCAAACTTGCCACAAAGTATCCTTGTATAAAAGGGATTCAAGATTCTTCAAAGGAAGGGCTACGCCCTCTTTAAAGAGGAGATTATTGTGATTTGAAAAAAATAAGGGCATCTTTTAGGGACTAGGTAAAATTTATCACAATGAGGGTAACGGTACAAAACAATATTCTCGTTTTGAAACAAGGTAAAAGTACATGTCCATTGGCATTCGTATTTCAAAAAAAAAAAATCTGTTCAATGCCTTAAGGTAGTACAAAACACCCCCGGATTCTATTTTTAATAATTTCTTTAAAATACTGGAGAAAAAAGTATAATATTACTACATTGACAACAATGAATGACCCCTGTAAGAAAAATAACAAGCTTTGGCATGATTGCGTCATATTTCATGAAAAAAAATCAGAGAATCCTATATGTTGATCACTTTGGAGTTAACATTTTGGAATGCGTTTACGCTATCTAAGTGCAATTAACAAGCGTGTAACATTCTGATATATAATGCAGTGTAACTTTTGTTCAATAAATAGTAGAGGGCTGATATTTGAACACACATATAAAGGAGTCTCCTCTCTTTCTGTACTATTAAGGTCAAGGTCATATCAAGAGGTCAAATACTGTGACGTCATCTACTGAATCTCTTAATTTTTTGCCATTTTAATTGTTTTAATCGATAAAATATCAGAAACTACCGACTCAATTTTCTTTATTTTTACACATTTTATTATGGGAGCCATTTTAATCATTCTGTTAATTTTTTGCAAAAATTGAATTATACATTTTTTCTTTAGAAAACTTTAAGTGTAGGATATTTACATGTAAATTTTCAATTCCGACGCTATGTATGTTTTATTTTTACTTAATATTTTTTCTCAAATGGTCCAGTATCAATATGACTTACTAAGTTAAAGTAACAAAAAGGTTATCTTTATCAAAATTATAACACAAACTTGCAATAGATCAATTGATTATTCTAAAAAAAGGCTCATTCTCAAGTCGAGTGTCTGATTTAACAATCTTCTTACAGGGGTCCGATCGATAGGCCATATTTCAGACAATGTAGGCAAAATATATGCGGTTGATTTTCGTTCATATTATATATCAATAGAGATTTTGTATCCTAGAACAAAATATCAAAGTTTCAGACAAATTGAATTTGAGGAAAAATTTGGCCTATCTATTGTGTCCTACCTTAAGACTCATAAAAAGATTACTTTCCCATGGTTATACACTTGTAACGCTTCGGAACGCCTGCCTTGTGTTGAGAACAAAAACTCCGATGTAAAGTTTTATAATTTTATTCAGTAATACAACAGCGAAAATAAATAACAGTATTTGAAATTCACAAGTCTCAACCCTTGGGACAAAAGGCAAAATCAGTACAACTACTGATATACTAGTAACTGGGCAACTGGCACTATTTCCAGTAATTTATGATTTAAGCAGAAATTCCCCCGACCAAAATAAAATGTAAAGGCTCTCTATAAATGACTTATAATTAATTTACAAATAAATATTCCCGCTACTAGTCCAACTATTAGCACGCAGCAGAAATATTTGCTAACTCCTAAAATGGGCTAAAGAAGATAAAATAACTAGTTCTCAACTAGTAATTATAAATAAAACTAGTACAATTACTAGTAAAAATTAATATTTAGCCTAACCTAACATTATATGCATTATGTATATACTTCAGTCACTCAGATACTGAACTAGTACACACCTTAAATTACTCTGGACAAAACTTTTGACCTTTCTCCAAGACACAAAGAAAACGAGAGAGCAAACGGTATTCAGCATCAGGGTATAAAATTTATAGAATTAATGTTCAAAACACGCAATAATTCATAACCAATTCCATCCCGTAAATTATAATCAGCCAATCAAATATAATCATCGTATGTAAAAATTATTACAATACGTAAATAAATTAAATAAGTTCAT